CATTTCTTTGGCCAAACTATTCTGAATAATATAAAACAATGGTGCCAGCAGCATATAATTTGAGCACTTCATTAGGGACCAAACATTCATTGGCCATAAGGGTCAAGCAGATGACACAAATGTATAAAGCCATTCTATGAAAAAAATAGTAATGAGGAACTGGAGAGATGACTCAGGGATTAAGAGCACTGACTTCTCTTAGCAGAGGATCCTGGTTCAGTTCCCAGCATCCATGTGATGGTTGCAACCATCTGTATCTCCAGTTACAAGGGATCTTCTGCCCTCTTCTGGCCTCCACGGGTGTTACACACAAGTAGTGCATATACATACATGCAGACAAGTGTTCACCCACATAAAAATTAATTTTTTATTCTATTCATTATTTTTATTTTATGTGTGTGAGTGTATTGCCTGCATGTATGTGAGTGCACCTGTGTTGTGCAACACCACAGAAGTCAGAGGAGGGCTTTGGATTCCCCTGGAACTGGAGTTAAGGACAGTTCATAGCTGCCATGTGGGTGCTGGGAATCGAATCTGGGTCCCCCGCAAGAGCAATCAGTGCTCTTAACCGCTGAGCCATCTCTCCAGCCCCTTAATTAATATTGTAAAAGAAAAATAGAAATAATAATGAACAACAAGGAGTATTTCAAGCCCAGAGTGGGGAAGTTCCTAATCCCTCCAGGAAGGCCACATACTCCTTTCCTGACCCCTGCCAATAATAGAAACGTGCACCAAATATGGCCAAGTCTGGTCTGTGATTCTAAAGAGCTGTTTTCTTAAAATAATTATATTTATTTTATGTGTATGAGTGTTTTGCCTGCATGTATGTAAGTACACCCATGCAAAGCCCAGGGAGGACAGAAAAGAGCATTGGATCCCCCTGGAACTTCAGTTACAGATGGTTGTTAGCCACCATGTGGGTTCTGGGACTCAAACTTAGGTCCTGTGGAAAAGCAGCCAGTTCTCTTAACCACTGAGTCATCTCTCCAAGCCCAAGGTCTAGTTTTTTTATGAAGAAAATGAACTGTTTAAAAATATTACCAGCTAGTTAAAACTTTTAACTAGTTAAAGCTTTAAAAACTAGACAAACCAAAGTACATCTGTAGTTGATATTCAGCCTGCAGATCCCATTAAATGACTTCTTCCATGTAATTTTAGCATGAAGCATGACAATATCGTTTTTTTTCATACATTCTTTATAAAGTCAAGGAATTTTCTCCAGAAACAACATTAAATGTATCTGTGACAGTTTGCAAAACAGAAACTTAAAAGGAATTTGGAAACCAGAATATCAAACTGGGTGCCAGTTAAAAATTGGTAAGAAGGGGATTATAACAATTGTCCGGCCAGTAAAATGCTTTCCATTTAAGCAAGAGCACCTGAGTTCAAGCTATTAACAGAAGCCATGTTAAAAAACCAGATGTAGTGGCACATGTTTGTAATCCCAGCACTGGTTAGACAGAGAAAGACAGATCCCTGGAACTCACTGGCCAGCCAGCCTAGCCTATTCAGTGAGTGCTAGGCCAATGAGAGACTCTGTCTTAAAAAACAAGGTGCACAGCACCTTAGGAACAGCATCCATGGTTGACCTCTGGCCTACACACATACTCACACATACACCTGCATATATGTACACATAAACATGTGCAAAAATATTGGTAAGAAGGTAGGCTAAGAAATTCTGCCCAGTTGTGCATCATAAACCCTTTCTACACTGGGTATGGTGGTGCACATAGTACTTGGGAGGCAGAGGCAGATGGTATCTGTGAATTTAATTTATCATATGGCTACACACTGATACCCTATCATTGAAAAAAACCTCTTCCCTCAAATTGCCCTTTTATGAAATTCTTGTTTTTAAGAATTTACTTCTGCATAGTTTTCCATAATTCCTAGAAGTTTGGATACATTAGGATCAAAACAAACAGTTTTTCTGAGTTATAGAACCAGAAAGACAATGAATATTGAAAGTGAAAAATTGAAATCTCCATATGTTCACCATCTCCAACAAAGCAAAACCAATTTGGTGGCACTGTATTACGATGTGAAGGAGTCTTTGAAGTGTTTCTAATTAAGAAAGTATGGCAAAAAGAAATTTAATTACAGAAATCATACATTATTAATTTAATATTAAATCTCCTTTGTATGTATGCCCAGGGAATAGTATTTCCACTTTGACTATCTGCTAAATGTTTTTAGGAATAAATTCAGTTTATCCAAACTGTTTTGTTGACTGTCAGATAGACTTTCCCAACATTTTAGAAAAATAACCTTCACATTTGAAGAGACAATGTTATAGTGATCACATTGGTAAAAACTGAATGACAGGCATTGTGAGGAACCAATTGAAGCTCAGTCACCAAAGAACCCTAAATGCTAAAAAAAAATTTTTTTGTCTTTTTGAGACAGGGTCTCCTTGTAGCCCCAGCTGTCCTGGAACTCACTATGTAGACCAGGCTGGCTTTGAACTCACAAAGATCCACCTGCCTCTGCCTCCCAAGTGCTGGGATTAAAGACGTGCACCACCACACCCGGCACTAAATGCCAAATATTGGCTCTAGCCTTCATTGTGTGTTGATTGACTTTAATGCCTCCCATGTTATTCTTTACCTTAATTCTAACAGTGGGAGGTGCTAGAGAGATGGCTCAGCAGTTAAGAGAGCTTGTTGCTCTTGCAGAAGACCCCAGTTTGGTTCCCAGCAACCACATCAGGCAGCTTGCAATCACCTGGAGCTCCATATCCAGGGGCTCCAAGGCACCTGCATGCATGTGCATGTGCCAGGCACACACACACACACACACACACACACACACACACACACACAAATAAAATAAAATCTCAATGTGTCCTATTCAGAGATAAGTGCTCTAGAGTCTCTTGTTCTCTGCATACTGGCTAGTTGTGGGTTTCTGTGTTAATCACCATCTGCTGCATAAGGATGCTTCTCTAGTGAGAGTTGAGAGATGCATTAATCTATGGGTATAACAATAAGTCATTAGGAGTCAGTTTAATGCTATGCTCATTTAGCAGAATAATAGTAGTAGGTGCTCCTGCTATGGCCTGTGACCTATTTAGTGACAGGTTCTTGGCCCTGATATCAGTGTCAGGTTTGGGTTCTGTCTTGTGAAGTGGACTTTAAATCCAATCAGAAAGTGGTTGGCTACTCCCATAACTTTTGTACCACTATTGCACCAGTGAACATACTTTGCCAGGCCAATTGTTCTTGTAGCTCACAACATTCATATCTAGGCAAAGCTGATGATTACTTTTCTTTTCCAGGAGTATGCACAGCTCCTTCCAGCATTGTGAAAGCTAGCCAGTAGAAATGAAGCTTTGAGGTCAGTATGAACTTGATTTCTCTTCATTTGTTCTAGAACTCATGTATGTAGTGTCTTCAGTAAGAGGGTCTTAATGAGAAGTTCTGGTAGGTAGCCAAGAGCAAGGGCAATGACCAGTATGGCTTGAGGGTCTATAGGACCCTTGGTCAATAGTTTTGAAAAAGAGAAGTCCATTCCGGGCATTGGGCTTTATATTTGCTACCCTATGATGTCTTGTAAGGGCAACATCACTCTGCTATAAGGTAACTCTTTTTCATCTCTTTTAATATATATATAGTTTTCCATATAACTTTTTCTAAAGGCCTTGGGATCAGGGATCATAGCAGAAGATGGGACAGAAAGATTATAAGTGCCAGAGGTGGTGGATGACACAAGGAAATAGAGTTTTCCAGACAGCTGGGCAGTTGCTCATAAGGACTTATGATAATTGTGGCTGTGCTGGATAGCTTTAGTGTCAACTTGGCACACCTGGGTTGAGGGAGCCTCAGTTGGGGAATTGCCTCTATTGGACTGGCCTGTGGCCATGTCTGAGGGGCATCTTCTTGATGAGTGATGTGGGAGGGCCCAGCCCACTGTGGGTGGTGCCACCCCTGGGCAGGGGGGCTTGTGTTGCATAAGAAAGAAGGCTGAGTAAAGAAGCCAGTAAACAGTGTTCCTCCATGGCCTGTGCTCTAGCTCCTGCCTACAGGTTCCTGCCATGAATTCCTACCTTGGGCTCCCTGATGAACTGTGACCTGAGAGATGTAGGCTAAATAAACCCTTTCCTCCCCAAGTTGGTAGTGGTCAGAGTGTTTTGTCACAGCAATGAAGAAACAAACTAGGATAGTGGTCAAGTCCCTCATAAACTCAAGCCAGACAGAATCCTAGCACAGAAATGGAAAGGTGGGTAGGAGGCCCCAGCTCTAGCTGAGAAACAATTGTCAACCAGTAGCTGCTGGGAGAGGGAGAGTCAGTGTTCTTTAAGAGTGTGATTGATACTGGATAGGCTGACCAGGCTCCAGTGAATGGACCCACACCAAAGGGCATTTGGGGATGCAAGTTTGACTCAATAGACCTTAATATGTGTGTGTGTGTGTGTGTGTGTGTGTGTGTGTGTGTGTGTACCAGAGTACAGTAGAGGGGATATTGGTTGGAGGGTGCAGATAGGGGAGGGGGTCTAAATATGATCAGAATATATTGTAGAAATTTTCAAAACTTCAATTTAAAAACTAAGAAAAAATCAAATATTAAAAAATAAAACCATTAACCCAATCATAAATAGACCCAACCCTGATCCTAATTTTTATCCATGTAAGACTTAGCAACTTCTCCAGTTCCAAGAGAAAACAGAAGGTGGGGAGACTAGCCAAAGGACAGGAGGTTGTGTCAAGAGGAGGAGCAGTGTCTACAGAACAGAATGTAGCAGATACCACAGTGCTAACCTGGACTAGCTCTTGTTGTTTGCACCAGTAGGGCCTTCAGCTAAATCCTGAGCCAACTCCCAACACCACTCAAACTATAAATGGGAATTACTTTTCAGCCCCACCTCCATCTGCCAATCCAAAGCTTCCTAAGACTGTTAGACAAAGCAAATAGACAATGAGTATGCAGATTCCTTACACGCCCTGATACAGACACAATAAATTACATATCCTAAAACCTCTTTAAACAGGCAGATCACAATGCAGGAACTCAACCAGTCCACCGTGACAGAATTCATTTTGTTGGGCTTTACCCTCAATCCCAGGACCAATCCTCTACTCTTCACCTTCTTTTTAGTCTTTTACCTGCTGATCCTTGTGAGCAACAGCCTCCTCATTACACTCATCCACCAAGACTCGCGCCTCCACACGCCCATGTACTTTTTCATTGGTGTCCTCTCCACACTGGATGTGTGCTACACCACTACAACCGTGCCGCAGATGCTGGTGCATATTCTCAGCAAAAAGAGAGCCATCTCTTTTACTAGATGTGTGGCCCAGATGTACATCTTTCTCCTCTTTGGGGTCACTGAGTCCTGGCTTTTCTCTATCATGTCTGTAGACAGGTATGTGGCCATCTGCCACCCACTCAGGTACAAGTTCATCATGAGCCGTGGGACATGTCTCCTAATGGTGATTATTTGTGCCACCTATGGTGTGGTGGGTGGCCTGTGCTATACTGTCTTTGCCATGCGCCTGCCCTATTGTGGGCCTAATGAAATTGATCACTATTTTTGTGAGGTCCCTGCAGTTCTGAAGTTAGCCTGTGCAGACACATCCCTCAATGACTTGGTGGACTTCATCACGGGCTTCAATGTCATTGTGGTCCCACTCTCCCTCATAGTTCTTGTCTATGCCAACATCATTGCCACCATCATGAAGATCCACTCAGCCCAGGGGAGGATCAAGGCCTTCTCCACCTGTGCCTCCCACATCACTGTGGTCACCATGTTCGCCATTCCATGCATCATCATGTACATGAGCCCTGGATCTGGGTCCTTATCAAACAGTGGCAAGAAAATGGCCCTTTTCTATAACATTGCCACGGCCTTCCTCAATCCTGTCATCTACAGTCTAAGGAACAAGGATGTGAAAAAGGCTTTCCTCAAACTGATGGGATGGAGCAGGGTTCCAAAGTGAAGCTTCAAAGCTAAAGGTATGGGGAGCTGAGCAAATCAGAACTTACAGTCACCAACTCCCCAAGGTCTCTTCCATGAGACATGGAAAAATAGGACTCCATAAAGATAACTGTTTACACTTGCCCAAGTTGGGGAGGAAGAGGATGCTCAGACATCTACAGTATGTATGGTAATGCTACTTGAGGCAGAGATGATTATGAAAGAGGGGTTCAGTGGTTGAGAACCTGGATTTTACTGCCAGACACACTAAGATGAGAGACTTAGTGTTGGAGTGTGAATGTGAAATGTTCCCCACAGGCTCATGTGCTTGAACACAATGTCCCCAGCTGGTGGTACTCTTTGGGAAAGCTGTAGAACATTTATGAGGCAGAGCCTGACTAGAGGAAGTGGAATCACTGGATTTTGTACCGCTAAAATGTGAGGAAGTGAGGACCCCACATGGAGGACCCCAGGAGGGTCCTCCATGGAACTGCCTGCCACCACATCTTCCCTGCCATGATGGACTATGTCCCTTCAAACTAAAAGTCCAAATAAGCCCTTCCTCCCTTAAGTTGATGCCTGTTAAATATCTGGTCACAGTAACAAGAAAAGTGCCTAATACACTTAGTTTTACCAATTACTAAGTCTCAATTTCTGCATCATTTAACTACTCTGAATTTTTTAATTTTTCCTCACACAGAAGTTGCAATGAATACATGAGATAGTGTGTGAAAAATGCTTCCTACAAAGCATGGCATCCAGTTCCTTTCAACAAGTGCTAGGTTTAATTTTTTATATTCACTGTTGAGAAATAAACCATCTGTCATTCAGTAGTCAGCCATGATCCTCTTGGGCTCTGAAGGTGACTGGAGAGATGTGGCTGCCCCTCCATTCTTGCAGTGTTGGGTGCTGTCTCCAGGCACCGCTCCTCAGCTGGCACAGGCACAGCCTGCGATCGCACCAGCACGGCCTCCTGGGCGTCACCTCAGATGGCACGGGAGCCACCTCCAATCGTATGGTCGCCGCCCTTCATTCCTTGCTGCAGCTGCAAGCTGTGGCTGCTCTTCTGCTGCTCTTCTGCCTGCCTGGTGCTGGGGTGCTCTTCCGCTCCCTGTGCTGCCTCCAACTTTCGCTACTTCTGCCTGGTCCTGGACCCCAGGGCTGGTGAGGAGACTGTGTCAGCAGAGCTGCATTCAGACACAGGAGACCAGATTCGTTGATGCAGATCCGGTTTATTGTAGAAGGGCACAATCTTATATAGGGGTAGGGGTCCAATCAAGAAGTTACAACTTAGATCTTTGGCAGGGCTGTGTCCTATTATAACATTGCAAGTCAGGCACCTCATTAGCATAATGGGTTTCAGGTTACTCAGGTACCGGTTTCCTTATGGGCCCTGGTTTCCTGGGAATCACGTGACCCAGGCTGTCTAAGTGTTGCAATTTGGGATCTCAAGGGTGGTGATTAGGGAGTGGCGAGCTCTAGGCATCAGTCTCATGCTCTGCCAATGGGAGCAAATGTCACAAGGCGTTCCTTGTAGCTCCATCAGTCAGCCTTTGCCTCAGGCCTGCTGTATGGCTGTCAGTAAGACTTTGACCCTAGGCTCAAGCTTGTCTCCCACATCTCCCCCATTTTTTCTTTTAAAAAGCCAATTATAGTTTAGTAAGGGTAAGGAACAGTGGGTCATTGTTTTTTGGATCATTTAAATTTGAGGTGATTGGATGTCGTGATGGGACAACAGCCAACTGAACTAGCCTTAACAAAATTAACAATGCAGGGTCCAAAAATTCCGTTCAGGAAGATGATCCAGTAATGGCTATAGTCTCTTCTTGTGAAGTGAGATACTCAAGGTCATCCCAGGTTATCGGGTGTGCCTATGGAGCTGGTTGCTTTCGTGATCTGCGACACCGGGTCGGTCTCTCGGTGGTTGAGAGGTGCATCACTTTCTCCAGGGTCAGGGCTGCCATCTCCAGGGTTGGTGGCTGTGGAGGGAGGGTTTTCGACACAGGCAACTCTAATGTTTTGAGCTGTGATCCAAATGGGGGCTGGAACATTATCTGGGAAGACACAAGCATAGCCTCGCCCTTGTATTAACAATAGGTGTCAATAATAGGATGGATGTATTTGAGCTTGCCAAAGCCAGGGAAGTGAGTGATGTCCATCTGCCAGATCTTGTTAGGGCCAAGAAACCCTAGTTTTCCATCTTTTGCATCTTTAGCAACAGCCATCGCTCCCATTTTAGAGCAAGGATCTGTTAGTTTTGCTTTGGCCGAGAATGCCTGGGACCAGCCACCCCCACCATCTTGTCTTTTTTTTTCCCAATATGAGATTATTCTGCTCAGGGGTATCAGGGGAACTCCCGGAAGCAAGGCCAGAATGGTAGTCACAATGGAGTAGAACAGCCCAGATTGTGGGCGCCCCTCCCTGACTTCTCTCCTTCTGGCCAGGAATAGTACACAAGCCCATTGCTCCAGATCCCAACAGCAATCTGTAAACCAGGGGGCACTTTATCTAATACTTTAGTTACATCTTTTTCTGTTACCCTAATTTGCCTACTCCTGAGGAGAGAAACCAGCGTGGTGGCACAGGGCCGGCGGCAGCTGGATGACTATTCCCCATACTGGAGGTCACTCACCCTGCAAGACATACCCAGAAGGACTCAGGAGCCGTTCAGGAAGATGATCCGAGGAGACAGGAACGACACACCAAACTGCAAGCCAGAAAAGGAAGCACAGGAGAACGAAAGCTCGAGCACCCACCAAAGAGTCACTGGCAAGGGGGGCTTCCAATGCCCAAAGTGTTACAGCCTCATGGGGTCGGGCTTTGCATGCCCCACGTTAAGTGAGTGTTACAGCCCCACGTTGGGCACCAGCTGTGGCCACCATGGGCGGCAGCCGCTCCTCCATTCACACGGGTGACGCTCCTTCATTCTCATGAGTGCCACAGCTGTCCCTCCGCTCACCCTGGGCTGAGGCTGCTCTTCTGCCTGCCCGGCACTGAGGCAGCTTTTCTGCACTCCCAGTGCTGCCTCCATTCGTTGCTACTTCTGCCCAGTCCTGGACCCCAGGGCTGGTGAGGAGACTGTGTCAGCGGAGCTGCATTCAGACACAGGAGACCAGGTTCATTGACACAGATCCAGTTTATTGTAGAAGGGCACACCCTTATATAGGAGTAGGGGTCCAATCAAGAAGTTACAACTTAGATCTTTGGCAGGGCTGTGTCCTATCATGACATCGGGTGTCAGGCACCTCATTAGCATAATGGGTTTCAGGTTACTTAGGTTCCGGTTTCCTTATAGGGCCTGGTTTCCTGGGAACCAAGTGACCCAGGTTGTCTGAGTGTTGCAATTTGGGATCTCAAGGGTGGTGATTAGGGAGTGGCGAACTCTAGGCATCAGTCTCATGCTCTGCCAATGGAAGCAAATGTCACAAGGTGTTCCTGGTGGCTTCAGTGGTCCAGCCGTTGCCTCAGGCCTCCTGTATGGCTGTCAGTAAGACTTTTAAACTAGGCTCAAGCCTGTCTCCCACAGAGAGAGAAAAGGAAAGAGAAGGGAAAGGGGAAAAGTAGTAACTAAAAAAAACTAAAAGTAGGGAATCTTTGGGTGAGACAAAGACTTGAGAAATAAGAAACAAGCCGGTGTCTGCCCACCCACAAGCTGTGCTGCTCAGAGCATCTCAGACTGATTGAATTATCATAGAGTAAGGGCTGCTCCTAAGCATTTCTTTCTATGGTTTTAAAAAAATTTATACTCTTTGATTTTTTTTGTCTCTCGTTTTAATAAAGTTTATTTTGGAAAACTGCAGCCTGTCTTGATGCTATCAAAGAAAAGGAACTCGGTCCCCATAAAGATGAGAGAAACAAAGGAAATTAGAAGAGGGAAAAGTGAGTCTAGTTTTAACTCCAGCTGCAAAAATTAGGAGGTGAGAAGAGAGGGAGAGACTCCATGGGGAGTTTTATATCATTTCTTTTCTGGACAGAAAAACTTCCCTTAGTCTATAGAATCGTCGTTAAGCACAAATAACTTCCCCAGGTGTTGCCAGTCCTTGGGGTCGCATTATGAGGCACTACTCATACTGAGTGGCTTCTGCCTTTACCTGATTTTGTGAAAACACCAGCACCCAACAAGGAGGAGGCTCTCATTTCCCTAGGAGACCACAGAGATGCGTCATATGTTAATGTGAGCCTCCTTGGGGCCTTCCTCAGATCCTTGCTGATGTATATTACCTGTGGAACCACTTGAAGAAGAGAGAGGAAGGGAGGGAGGAAGGGAGGGAGGGAGGGAGGGAAGGAAGGGAGCTAAATCAGCTGTGCTGGTCTGAAAATTTTAATACAGACTGGTGACACCACCTCCCCCACTCCATGAGAATCAGGGTCCATGCCAGGGACACTGGTTCCCAGTGTTCTCAAATATATTACCCACCAACCCAGACTGTTGCATAAATAATAAAGCAAAATTACTATAAACGACAAAACAGGACTTATAGTTACAGCAGATAGTTACATGCTATCATTAACATAAAAAAAGGTTTTAGAAAGAAACACACAGGGGTCAGTAAGATGCCTGAGTAGGTACAGGTACATGCTGCCAAGTCAGACAACCTGAGTTTGATCCCCAGAAACTACATGGTGGAAGGAGAGAACTGACTCCCACAAATTGTCTTCTGGCACTCACACATGCTCTGTGGCATGCCCCTTTGAAAAGACCTGTAATAAGATATACTTTTAAAAAGAAAAATATGAACATCAGAAAATTGGCAATAGATGGGTTGTTTATTTATTGGGTGTTTTGGAGGAGGGTCTTCCTCTTTTTAAATTTTTTCGTAAATCTTTCATTGAATTTTGGTGTATTTCATACAGAACATCTTAATCATCTTTATACCCCCTTCCCATTGGCACCCTCCCATAGCCCCCTCCCCACCAGATCTCATGCATTCTGTCATTTATGTTAAGGCCTATCAAGTCAAGTTAGTGTCCCCAGATGTCCCCCAGTGCAAGTTTGTTTGCTGAGGTCTAGTCAGCCCATCC